TATTTATTTGTTTGAGATGGAGACTCACTCTGTCACCCAGGCTAGAGTGCGGTGGTGAAATCTCCGCTTACTGCAGCCTCTGCCTCCCGGGTTCAAGTGATTCTCCTGCCTCAGCCTCCTGAGTAGCTGGGATTACAGGCACGCACAACCATGCCCGGCTAATTTTTTGTAGTTTTAGTAAAGACAGGGTTTCACCATATTGGTCAGGCTGGTCTTGAGCTCCTGACCTCGGGATCTGCTGGCCTCAGCCTCCCAGAGTGCTGGGATTACAGGTGTGAGCCACTACACCTGGCCTATTTCTTTATTCTTGTTATTGGTCCGTGGAGACCTCCCACAGTGACAAATTATGCTAGGCTGTCAGGCATCTCTGTGCGGCCTTCCAAGAACAGCCTGGCTATTTATAGCATCAGTGTATTGGGGATCTATTCTCTGGCTACCCTAACTAAACAGATGAGCATTACCCTTGCCTGGCTAGATACTCCTATGTCATGGCTGTTTTATGCCTCCTTTTCTCATCCCTTTATTCCTCTCACACACTAGGAGGTCAGCATTGGTACTGGGGACTAATAATTACTAATGAAAAGGTTGTTTTCCAATACCCTGTCACCCCAGTTTCAGAATAAGCCCTATAGTAACTCTTACATTAATACAAACTGGTGAGTCGGAAGAACTGCTTGAGTCCAAGGGTTTGAGACCAGCCTGGGCAACATAGCGAGATCCCCATATCTTATAAAGAAAAAGTAAACAAAAAACACCAGGATGCATATTTGTGATCTAAGGAAGCAGGACATGGGAGTAGACAATGGTGCCAGTGGTCAGAGTTCTAGGCTACAGGCCTGGCCAGGGACTGTAGCAAGGGAAGCACTTGCCCTTGGAAGTAGCTGAAACCAGGACTGGGAAAGGATCCTAGAGCATTAGCTATGTTTATAACATTTGGTATCCAACGTTGACAGAACGCAGGACGTATGTTGGACTTTGGGAATGGAAGCTCTCTGGGATTCAGAAAGTAAACAGTGGCAGCTCTGGGAAGGGATCTGGAAAATTGGAGGAAAGCCTGAATCCTGCTGTCAGGAGTTCTCTAGGTTCCAGCTTTTTGGACTCCTGAGTTCCTGTCTGTGAGAGAGATAGCTGACCAGTGGCAGGAAGAACAGCATAGGAAGGGAAAAAGAGAGATTCTGTTTAAATTCTGATGGGTGTTTGTAAAGTATTCCATGATCTCAGTGAAGATATAATTAAGAACAGGCCCTCAGCAGTCAATATGGCAGTAAAAGTAACCAAATAAAGAAATCTAGCTGGCAAGAAGTAGACAGAGCCCAAAGGGCTATCATTAAGGGCTACCATTAGAAGGCAAAGTCTGAGACACATGAAAGCAATTAGATATTGCCACCTTACCCAGGTGCTCTATTTTGTGATTAAGAAGTGAGCAGCTGGGCTCAGTGGCTCACACCTGTAATCCCAGCACTTTGGGAGGCTGAGGCGGGTGGATCACCTGAGGTCAGGAGTTTGAGCCCAGCCTGGCCAACATGGTGAAACCCTGTCTCTACTAAAAATACAAAAACTACCTGGGTGTGGTGTTGGACGCCTGTAATCCCAGCTACCGGGAAGGCTGAGGTAGGAGAATAGCTTGAATCCGGGAGGCGGAGGTTGCAGTGAGCCGAGATGGTGCCACTGCACTCGAACCTGAGCAACAAGAGAGAAACTCTGTCTCAAAAAAAAAGTGAGTGAATGAAATGGACAGTACTTGCAGTTACACATGCAGTAGCCTCTCCAAATACGACAAACCATTGCACTTCATAGGTGCCCATGTTCTGGCAAGTACTTACAGACACATGGGCTCTGTTTTAATCTGAGAAAACTAATCTATTGAACACCTAATTATAAATATGAACACTGTCCATGTATTATTTAATCTCAGTAACTCTATGGGCTAGGCATTATCAACATTATTTTCTTTTTTTTTTTTTCAAAACCACGATCACGAGAATCAACATTATTTTCAAATACAAGAAATGGAAACATATGAGCAGAATTGATGTGTTGAAGTGAGGACACTTTTTTTTTCTTCTTATTTTAACGAAAGGCAAAATCAGATTGAAAACAAAAGGTACATGTCACATGGCAGTCTTCTTTTTATTTCGAGCCCCAGGCTCTGTCGCCCAGGCTGGAGTACAGTGGGCGTACTCCACTCCAACAGACTAAGGGAGGCCGAGTAAACTGCTGAGGGCTACTTAGCTAGTAAATGGTAGAGCTAGTATTTGAACTCAAAGCCTGTGAGATGGGAAACCAAATTCTAGAAGTAAAGAGAATAGGTAGGGAAGCTCCCTTAGGTTGTAAAGAAAATAAGTCATAAGCTAGGTATAGATATCTATGTAAAAATCTCTATCTCTTTTTCTCTGAAGAGTCTAGGCTCCTAAAGAGTCTAGACTCCAAGTCACTAACTTAAAATACAGCACTGGCAAAGGGTAACAACTTCTTAGAATTGGTGAGAAATGTGATGTGGCCTCTGAGGAGGATTCAGGAATAAGAGACCACACGAGGCTGAAAGCCTCTAATGGACAAGATCTTTGCTCCATCTCATGCCACTGAGCCATGAACTGTCAGAAGCATACAGCCAAACAGGAATCTGCTACAGAGATGCTAAAACCAGGCAAAACTGGAAAAGCAAGCTTCCTTTTGTTCTTTCTAGATTTTGGTGAGGCAAAATTTACCATGGCACACTGGGCAACTGTGAAAGGCGAGGAAAGCCTGAAAAAAAAAAAAAAAAAAAAAAAAAAAGATCTTTTGGCCGGGTACAGTGGGTCATGCCTGTAATCCCAGCATTTTGGGAGGCTGACATGGGTGGATCACGAGGTCAGAAGATTGAGACCATCCTGGCCAACATGATGAAACCCCGTCTCTACTAAAATACAAAAATAAAAAATAAAAAAATTAGCCAGGTGTGGCCGTGTGTGCCAGTAGTCCCAGCTACTCAGGAAGCTGGGGCAGGGGAATTGCTTGCATCTGGGAGGCAGAGATTGCAGTGAGCTGAGATCGCACCACTGCACTCTAGCCTGGCAAGAGTGAGACTTTGTCACACACACACACACACAAATTATCTTTTAAGAATAAACTAAGAAGAACTAAATGAAAAGTGTATCTGGCAGAGTTGAAAAAAATCACTTATAATTTCGATACAAAACAGTGAGTGATCCAAAGATATGATGGGTACAATTATATATCTTGTGACATCCCATTTCATTTTTTTTTTTCTTTTTATTTAGAATAAATAGAGGCTGGGCATGGTGGCTCACACCTGTGAGCCTCCTCATCACAACACTTTGGAAGGCTGAGGCAGACAGATCCCCTGAGGTCAGGAGTTCAAGACCAGCCTGATCAACATGGTGAAACTCCGTCTTTACTAAAATATAAAAAATGAGCTGGGTGTGGTGATACATACCTGTAGTCCCAGCTACCTGGGAGGCTGAGGCATGGGAATTGCTTGAACCTGGGAGGCGGAGGTTGCAGTGAGCTGAGATCACACCACTGCAATTCAGCTTGGGTGACAGAGCAAGATTCTGTCTCCAAAAAAAAAAAAAAAAAAAAAAAATAGAGATGAGGTGTCACTATGTTGCCCAGGCTGGTCTAGAACTCCTGAGCTCAAGTGATCCCCCCACCTCAGCCTGCCAAAATGCTAGGATTAGAGACGTGAGCCACCCTGCTTGGCCTATCATCCCATTCTAACAGTATACAATACAGAAGAGCTCAACTGGGCAGTTGGACTTACTCACTTTTTTGTACCCTTCCTTCCTCCGTTCATTACACTGTAAGATCAGTGTAGGGAAGAATTAAACTCTTTTGTAATCAAAGACATATAAAATAAGGGACTTGATTTTTTTTTGTTTTTTGAGACAGAGTCTCATTCTGTTGCCCAGGCTGGATTACAGTGGCACAGTCTCAGCTCACTGCAACCTCTGCCTCTCAGGTTCAAGCAATTCTCCTGCCTCAGCCTCCCAAGTAGCTGGGATTACAGACGCCCGCCACCACGCCTGGCTGATTTTTTGCATTTTTAGTAAAGATGGAGTTTCACCATGTTGGCCAGGCTGGTCTCGGACTCCTGACCTCAAGTGATCTACCTGCCTCGGGCTCCCAAAGCGCTGGGCTTACAGGCGTGAGACACCATGCCTGGCCAGGACTTGATTATTTGCTGACGACAACATTTATATCATAAACATTTTAAAAATAAATATGCTTCTTTAATTAAAACAAAGCATTGAAAAAAAAATCCTTCTTTCTGGATACTGATACAGAAAAAAAAATTCTTATCACAAACATTTTAAAAATATATAGCCTCCTTTCTGGACACTGATACAGAAAAAGGAGAAAAGAGGGGTCAGGAGCAGTGGCTCATGCCTGTAATCCTGGCACTTTGGGAGACCAAAGTGGGAAGATCACTTAAGCCCAGAAGTTTGAGATGAGCCTAGGCAACATAGTAAGACCTCATCTCTACCAAAAAAAAAAAAAGAAAAAAAAGAAAATCAAAAAAGCTAGCTGGGTGTGGTGGCGCACACCTGTGGTCTCAGCTACCCAGCAGGCTGAGGTAGGAGGATGGCTTCAGCTCAAGAGGTCGAGGCTGCATGAGCCATGATCACATCACTGCACTCCAGCCTGGATGAAAGAGCAAGACTCTGTCACACACACACACACACACACACACACACACACACAAAAAAAAAAGAAAAAGAAAGAAACGAAGAAGAAAGAAAGAGAAAGAAATAAAAGAAAAAGGAGAGAAGAATAATCTTCAGAGAATAACACAGTTTGTAAACCTCATCATCATCTCTGGGAAAGGCATGGCTCTTCATGGCCTCACCTCCTTTCAGTGTTTCAGATGCCATAGTTTTCCCACCAGATAGTATACCAGTTGGGCCTCCAGAAATGTGCCTTCTCTAAAAGCTGGGAAATCAATATTTTGAAACACTAGCCACCTTCCTCCAACTCCCCACCCCCGATATGGCCTTTACCTTCCACAGGGGAGGTTTTCAGTCTACTGCAGAGATTCTGTACACCTCCATAGTGGACATTAATCTGGGTCAGTGCATCCCTTGAACGCAGCTCCATGAGCTTCCTCAGTTCCATTACTGTGCAGCCAAAGTCCCCTTCGTGGCTCTCGGCCGTTGAGTTGGCCGGCAAGACACGGTCTGATGGGTTCGTCATTTTGCCTGCCGTTACCAAGCCCCTCAGCCAGAGAAGATGTAGCGTTTCCCTTCAACTGACCAGTGTCTCCTGCCTTCCTGTCCCAACTTCTTTCTACTTCCTGCTTCTCTGGGGGCCCAGTGAGGGAACAGATCGAATATATCTTGTGCAATAAGCTTCCAAGTAGCAGTCCCAAGCCTAGATCCTTTCTTCTGTATGAAGTCTGGCAGCGAGAGGAGGAAGAAGCTGGGGGAACTGAGTGGAAGGCGAACTCCGTGTCACGATGATTGGTGTCCCCAGGTGGTGATGGAAGTGGTTGTCCAGGGTAGGTAGGTTCCTAGCTTAGACCAACTTGCCCAGATGAAGGTGTAAACAGGATGTGCATGTTACCATGGCAGCAACCTTAGCAACAACCAGCAACTGTAGTAGTAGAGAGGCGTCAGGAGGAGGAAGAGGAGAGCTTCCTGGATACCAATGACAACTGGATCTCTGGAATAAAGATTCAAAGATAGACAAAAAGAAACCATTAGAGCAGCCACGAGGATCCAACATCTGCAAGGGCAAGAGGTACTCAGTCTAAGCACAAGGGTTTATGTGACAGTTGAGGTCTGAGCTCAACTGATAGCTGAGGCCTGAGCTCCAAGAACTGACTGACTCAGGAGAGGCCTGTTGCTCCCTGGGAGGCCCCCGCAGCCTGTAAACTCCAATGTAGAGAAGTAATTTCGATACACCCCAATCTTCATGCGTCACCTCTCCCAACCAAGCAACATAAAACCCGCAGCTTCAGAAACTTGGAAATAAATGGTTACGACCTCTAATGGCTCAAATGTTTTTCCTATTTGAGGGACCTGTGACAGGATTCTTCAGTCTAACCTTATCTATAAAAGACAAGAAGAGGTCAGAAAAAGGAGTTCCGATCTGAGTGATCTGGAGGGTGGCCTGTCAGTCTGCTGTCCTCTCTCACACCCCACACTCTTCCCACTCCCAACACACACATTTACACACAAGGAAGACAACTTGACAGAAGATGCCAAAATCCTCCGAAACCTCTTGGAGTACTCAGCCTCCAGGTGTACAGAAATTCTGCAGCCTGTTGCAGGTGTCCACTTGGCAGGTACCAAGTTTTGAACTCGAGGCTAAGCTCTACCCTCCTCCAAGAGGTTTTTGGGGAGAATAGGAGAGTAAAATGCTTTGGCAGTTGGTGATACAGGGTGAACTTTTTTTTTTTTTTTTAATAAAGGGGACAGAAGGACCTCTGAGGTGGAAAGATAGAGAGTTTAAAGCCTGAGCATTAAAGTTTCTCTGGAGTGGGAGCGATAAGATACCTCTCAATTCAGATAGAGGATAGGGCACAACAAGGTCATGAGCTAGCCTGTGAGTGAGCACCAAAGTCTCAAATCAATTCAATAAAGGCACCAGACAGAGGCCAGCATTTCTCCCCTCAGAAAGATGCATTATCTCTCATGCATGCTAACTAGGGGGTGGGGTGGAGGTATGTGTAGGTGAGGATACGGAGGGGTAAAGGTGGGAAGAAAACTTATCCTGAGGACCCTTGTCAGCTTCAGAGAGGGGCCGCTGTGTGTCATGCTGCTGACAGGAGCCACTGCCACACATGAGCCTTTTAAATGTGAAGGGCTCTTTCTCAGCATAGCACGAGAACATGGGGCCCCAGCCCCGGTTACATAGTCCCCACTGATGACCTCAGTTACCAGGGAGTGGCAAGGAGCTCTGGCCAACCTCTCTGTAATCAATAGACGCCACCCTCACTTCTAGAAGGTGAACAAAGAAGCACAGGAACCATCCAATAAAGGATACGATTCTTTGATCAGTGACCTCCTCCAAAGTCGCATGTAGCCAAAGTCTTTGCAGATTCCTGACAATCCTCTTCCCAGAAGCTTCCATAGGGTTGCAGGTTGATTTATACTCCTCCTTCTCCCGATTTGCCCTTTGCCACCTCCTCCTCCCCCGCCACCCACCGTAGATTTTTAGCACTACTCTGACTTACAAAGAGCAGGGCTTACAAAGCAAGCGGGGCTTCGTTTGTTTGAAAACATCATACGCTCTTCCTATCTGGGAAACAAGAAGGTCCACAAAGAGCCTGAGGCAATGTGTCAAACTCCCTTCATTCAGGCTGGCATAGGAATAGGCAGGGCCACAGAGTTTCACTCCAGTTCAGCTTCTCTTCCAAGCCTGGAAGAAGTGGGAGGGGCTATAACAGCAAGAAACCCATCTTGACCCTTAAGTAGAACTCCTTCACCTTTCAAGAGGATGTTGGGAACAATGCTGATAGAGTGTTTAACTAAGTATCAGACGATTTTACCTTTTGTGCCTTCACCCGCTACAATGTTTGCTCCATGAAGACAGGGATGTTGCTTAGCCTTTTCAGGACTCAGTTCCTTCCACCTTTAGTTGGGTAGAGAATGGGCCCTGCCTTTCACACCACCCAAAATAGGTGATAAAGGAATGGAATTAAAGAAGTAGTACTTGGAAATATTAGATGAAGTGTGTCCAGTGTCCAGATAGGACACTTAAGTGATGGGAGAACGCCTAATTTGATCTTCATGAACTTTTGTTACCTAGTCATTTAATTAGAAGAACAATAAGCTCCACGCGCCCTCCATCTTTCTTTGCCAGGGAACCCCCACCCCACAAACAAGAATGGGAAATTCTAAGGCAGCTTCATTAACAATAACAATTAGCTAGGTTGTAACCATTAGCAATAACCACCAGCATATAGGGTCTTGGGTCTCTTGAGAATTCGAAAAAACAGTCTGAGACAGAATTCTTTCCTTTTTTTTTTTTTTTGAGAAAGAGTCTCACTCTGTCACCCAGGCTGGAATGTAGTGGCATGGTCTTGACTCACTGCAAACTCCACCTCTCAGGTTCAAGCAATTCTCCTGCCTCAGCCTCCTGAGTAGCTAAGACGACAGCCACCGACCACCATGTCCAGGTAATTTTTTCTGTTTTTATTAGAGATAGGGATTCACCATGTTGGCCAGGCTGGTCTCAAACTCCTGATCTCAAGTGATCTTCCCACCTACCTCAGCCTCTCAAAGTGCTGGAATTACAGATGTGAGCTACCGTGCCTGGCAGAATTCCTTCCTTACTTTGAACCTCTTTTTAGAGTACCAAAGAGGAGAGATTTTTCCACATCCATAGGACTAATGGAAAAGGTCATATAAGATTAGAACACACGGGGCTGAAGAACTCATTCGGAAAAGAATGAGAAGGTTTGTTTGTCTCAGGCTGATCTAGAGAAGCACACAGTAGGTCAAGCACTAAGATGCTGGCACAAAAGCAAAAGGGCAGTGCAGAGTTGGGGCCCCAGGTTTAAGGTGGGATCTCTATAAAAGTTCTGTAATTAGGAAGCATATCATGACATCCACACTTCTGAGTTTTGAGCTGTCTGGAATATGAGCTCTCTGCAGCTGCTGAGCCTGCCTGGCCTCTAATCTGATTAGGCAACTGCCAAAGAATAATCTAAAAGTGCTCACACCACCTCAGCGTCAGATGCGTCGCTCAGACACCTGGGAGGTACTACCTCTTGTCATTTGGCCTGAGGCATTCTGGGTTAAGGTATGTGCTCACTCCACTTTCGTAGCATTTTGCAAGCCTAGGAGATGATAGAAGAGTGAACTCTCTCATCTCTTCCTTCTAGGGCAAGAAACCATAATGCTTTACATGATCATTAAGACATTTGACTTCTTTCCTCCTAAAGTCCTGTAACTTCTGTTCTATAATTTGTAGATGACATGGGAAAGCATTGGTCTATCAGTTCTAGATAGGACAACTGTGACCCCCGCCTTACAGATGAAGATACAAAGGTCCAGGGAGATTAAAAAAGTGATTTGGTCTTTGGCAAGTCGGTGGTCTTGACTGCCTGGTGCTCTTTTTGTTACACTTTACTGCTTCTCTTGAGCCTAAACCTCTTCATTTTCTGGAAAACCTCTAAGAGGCCCTTTAAAAGGCAGGCATCTTTTAGATGCAGTGACTCATGCCTGTGAGTGATTTTTAGCACTACTCTGACTTACAAAGAGTTAAGCAAGCAGGGCTCTGTTTGTTTGAAAATTTCATACTCCCTTCTTATCTGGGAAACAAGAAGGTCCACAAAGGGCCTGAGGCAATGTGTCAAAATCCCAGTACTTTGGAAACCTGAGGCAGGAGAATTGCTTGAAGGCAGGAGTTCGAGACCAGTCTGGGTAACACAGTGAAACCCTGTCTCTACAAAAAATGCAAAAATTAGCTGGGCACGGTGGTGCACGCCCATGGTTTTAGCAAATTGGGAGGCTGAAGTGGGAGGATCATTTGAGTCCAGGAGGTGGAAGCTGCAGTGAGCTGTATTCACACCACTTCATTTCAGTCTGGACAACAGAGTGCGACTCTGACTTCAAAAATTAAAAAAAAAAAAAAAAGTTCTAGAAATGAGGAGCTGCCAGAGACAAGAAACTTATGCCCTAAGTCACCAAACTGTAAACACTAGTCAGGCACACTTTCCTCCAATTTTGTCCAAGACATTTTTCACTCTTAGTTTTTCCAGGGTGCCAAAGAAGAAATACATCCCCAAACTATGAGGAAAAAGAGAGACTCCTTGTATAGATTATAGAGTAGGGGATATTTGAAAATATGAAAGGAGCTCACCACCTGAGTGTCCCCCCTACAAATCCTCCTAATGAATGTGATGTGATGAATAAAAATGGGAGAAAGGAAACAGGAGAGGCCGGAGCTGGGGCTTCAGGCTGCTGCAGCACTGCAGACAGACCTGCCTGGAATAGTAAGAGGCTCTGGTCAACTCTGGCCTCTGGGCTACAGGTGGGGGCTGCTCAGCGGAGCAGACACTTCTCTGCCCTGCTCTGCCCTGCCCTATTCTCTCCTTCCCAGTGGGCTGACAGCCTCTGCTCAGGAGCAAGCTGGGAGCACTTGGAGACACTCTGGCAGGTGTGCCAGCATCACTGCCAGGCAGGACTTGAGGGGTGAGGAAGGGAAGACCTCTGAGAGGGGAAGCAGCCTGGTCCCACTTTGAATGCACCCAACTGCAATGTAAAACCTGCTTCAGGGGCCCCTCACAAAACCCGTGGTCCCTAGAGTCAGGCTCCCTCTTTCCAAGTGAGGCTCTGCTTCTCCCTATACTCAGGAACAGGCATGTGGGGTGGGGAGAGGTGGGAAGGGACGGAAAAAATATTTGTTGATCACCTACCATGTGCTAGGGGCCATACTAGGTACTTTATATGAAAATCAGAAATGACGTATGTACCCCTGTGTATGATCTAGTGCCTGGCATAGTGGTTGACCCACACGGTGTAGCTATTATCATTCTTACATATACTGTTTCACTGAATTCTCACCAACAACCCTATAAGGAGGATCTCTCCATCTTACAGTAGGGAAATATAGATTCAGAGAGCCAAGATCTGTGCCTTAATCTGAATCCAAAGAAGCCACCTTGCCTCAAGTACAAGAACAATGATATTTAAAAACTGGAGACAAAGCTA